CCAGGCGGATCTCTGTGAGTTCGAGGCCAGCCTGGGCTACCAAGTGAGCTCCAGGAAAGGCGCAAAGCTACACGGAGAAACCCTGTCTCGAAAAACCAAAAAAAAAAAAAAAAAACAACAAACCACAAGGTATAACTTCCTCTGCCAGAGGATAGGAACAGTAAAAACTATCCATCTGCCAATGTCTTCTCATTCTGTTGTCTGTGGCAGACATCACTAATCTATCTATCCATCTGCCAATGTCTTCCCACTCTGTCTGTGACAGACATCACTAATCCATCTTTCTCCCTCTGCCAATATCCTCCCATTTGAGGCCTTTGTCACCCTCCATGTCATCTCTGAAGGTTTTACTGCTTCTGGTCTTGGTTCCTCTGATATTTCCTATTATTACAGGGTGTTCTTTAAACACACGGACATGCCCATGCCGTTCTTCCACCCTCTAAGGCAGTGGTTCTCAACCTTCCCAACACCACAATCCTTTAATACAGTTCCTTATGTTGTGGTGACCCCCCCAACCATAAAATTATCTTGTTGCTACTTCATAACTGCAAATTTGCTACTGTTAGGAACTGTAATGCAAACATCTGACATGCGACCCCCAGGTTGAGAACCAGGGCTCTAAAGACTCCCCTCTGGATGCAATCCCCGTTCTTCTGCTTGGCTCCCCATGCTAACCCCAGAACTGTTCTTCAGGGGTGACTCAGAGCGCACAGTGCTTGCCCTTGAGCAGGCTGAACCTGCAAAGGCCTGGAGCCTCAAAGCACTCGCTGCTTCTGGTGAGTTGTCTTTGGGGTACTGCCCTCGGTGTGCCCTGACCAGCTTCTGGGGAGTGTGTCATTGTTTGCTATAGGTCTGGTGGTCCTGTCTGAAACCCAGTAGGAAAAAATCATCCCTCTGAACGAGGAACTGGAAAGCTTTGCTTCCCATGAGGATTTCTTGTTTCTTGCCCCGGGTTCGAGAATGGCTGGCAGCTGTCTGGGCTTCTCTTTTCCCTTTGCTTGCACATACACAGGAGCACTCAAGACTGCATGATAAGGAACAGGTAAACGCATACAGACTGCCAAGTATGGCTGCTCAGGCCTTCAATCCACAGTGAGCGTTCAGATATTTCTACTGGTGCAGGGCAGGCCGAGTCTAGAACTTTGGGTTTGAGGACCAGAATGCTGTGGAATTTAGCAGAAGCTCTTTGGGCTATGGTTTAGTATGGTGGAGCAGTGCAGGCCTTTAATCCCAGAACTCAGGAGGCAGGTAGCTCTTTGTGAGTTCAAGGCCACCTGGTCTACAAAGTGAGCCTGAGGCTAGCCGGGGTGCCATAATAAGATCCTGTCTCAAGAACAAACAAAGCAAAAACAAAAACCTAAAAAGCAAAAACAAACAAACAAACAAACAAAACAAACAACAACATAACCCCAACCCAAGCTCTGTTTCTTTTCCTGTAGAGTCATTTGGATTCCTTCCGGTTGCTCAAATACGATGTGACGTCTGCGTCTAAGTTTACGGAACCTGGCCGCCCGCTCCTAGTCCGAAGACACAATCTCACCCCGGGAATTTTTTTGGTATGTGTGTGAGATACAAGACTCCGAGCTCCCTGTTGGCTGTGTTCATTGCCTGACTCAAAGATCATTCGGGACCAGTAGAAGGCTAAAGAGAAAGCAGAGATAGTTTTGCTCGAGTCTGTAATAACGCTGAGCATAGGCCTTCTGGAGTGTAGTGCTGCTCAGATGAAGTTAGAAAGTAGACCCTCTTAAAACCGAGGTGCCAAGTCATCCCTCGTGTGAGTTGACGTGGAGATTCCCGAAGTGATTAAAGTCAGTTCTTGCCATTAAGAAGCTTCTTATGTAATAAGCTAGTTGAGGACATAAGGATATATAAAAGAACAACAGCATGAGTGAGACAAAGTGAGGTAAAGTATGAACTCTGAAAGCAGACTGAGTTCAAACCTGGGCTCCACTACTTGCCTGTGTGACCTCAGGAAATTACTCCACGTCTCTTACGAAAGAAAGGAGTGTTTGCTAAACACACTTTCATGGCTTTATCTAAGGGAATGCTATATATTACCTTCCTGTGTAATGAAAGGAAATGAAATCAATATCTTGTGGTTTTAGAAAAGGATAATGAATTCATAGGATTGCTAGAAACATTTAGCAAAGCAATTAAGCCTGTGTCAACCCCCCTGGCAGGCATATCATGGACAGGAAATGTTAATCCCACTCTCGGGCTTTCTGTCACTATGGGTTAGGCTGGCCTTCTCTAGCAATCATCTAAATGAGGCATGGTGGCACACACCTTTTATCCTAGCACTATGGAGGCAGAGGCAGTTGGATCTTGGTGAGTTTGAGGTCAGTCTGGTCTACAGAGTGAGTTCCAGGATAGCCAGGGCTACACAGAAAAACCCTGTCTTGGAAAAAAAAAAAAGGAAGAAAAAAGAAAATGAAAAGGAAAAGGAACCTCTTCATTAAAAAAAAAGTCCTCTCTAGATGATTTTAATGAGAAGCAACAGCCTAGATGATCTTTTACCCTTCTAGATTTCAGCAAGCAAATAGACAAACCCACAAGTTTATCTCTAGTCAATAGATACAAACTAGTGAAATATAACTTTAGAAAAATTGTGTTTTAGGAACACTAAGGAGGGGCTGGAGAGATGGCTCATCGGTTAAGAGTACCAACTGCTCTTCCAAAGGTCCTGAGTTCAATTCCCAGCAACCACATGGTGGCTCACAACCATCTGTAATGAGATCTGGTGCCCTCTTCTGGCCTGCAGGGACACATGCAGGCAGAATACTATATACATAACAAATAAATAAATCTTTGAAAAAAAAAAAGAAAGAAACACTAAGGAGCCAGGTGTGGTGGGGCACACCTTCAATCCTAGCACTTAGGAAACAGAAGCAGGCAGAGCTCTGTAAGTGTGAGGCTATCCTGATCTACATAATGATACCCTGTCTCAAAGATGAAGAAGGAGGAAGAGGAAGGAAAGGAGGAGGAGAAAGAGGAGGAGGAGGAGGAGGAGGAGGACTGTAGCTGAAGTTTTCCTGGTCCTGTCTGGCTCCCATTATCCTGTGGCCTCTTGGACCCAAGTAAACACACAGAGGCTTATATTAATTAAAACTGCTCGGCCATTAGCTCAGGCTAACTATTGATTAGCTTTTACACTTAAATTAACCCATAATTCTTATTTATGTTTAGCCACGTGGCTTGGTACCTTTTCTCGGTTCTGCCTTCACATCTTGCTTCCTTTGTGTCTGGCTGGCGACTCCTGACTCTGCCTTCCTCTTTCCAGAATTCTCCTCTCTGCTTGTCCCGCCTGTACTTCCTGCCTGGCTACTGGCCAGTCAGCATTTCATTTATTAACCAATCAGAGCAACACATTCACAGCATACAGAGCGATATCCACAGCAGAGGACTGGGTTACTCATTTTTCTGTGCTGTGTCAAGAACAACTTAGGGAAGCTTTGCTGTGGCTCACAGTCTGGGGATGTTGTCCATCATGGTGGAGAAGGTGAGGCAGGGAGATCTTGAGGCAGCTGTCAGTTAAGAAGCAGAGAGAGAGAGAAATGCTGGTACTTGGCTCCTTTCTCTGCTTTTCCTTTTCCTCCATAGGACGGCGCCACCCACGTTCAAGGTGCACCTTGCCCCTTCAGTTACTCTTCAGAAATGCCCTCACTGACATGCCCATTGGCTCAGAGACAATTCTAAATCCAGTTAGTTCTACGAAAAAGATGAACCATTGTGACTATCAATATTCATGAGTTTTACTCTATATCCAGACACCATGCTAAGTAGTTTCTGTGTGTTTGATTATCTAAATATTCCAAGTAAGTGGAGCATGGCAGTGTGTGTCTGTAGTCCAGACTCTCAGGATTACCACAAGTTAAAGGTCAGTTTGTGTAATGTCAGCAAGACCATGCCAAAGGAAGGAAGGGAGGGAGGGAGGGAGGAAGGAAGAGAGGAAGGAAGGGAGGAAGGAAAAGAGGGAGGGAAGGAAGGAAGGGAGGGAGGAAGGGAGGAAGGAAGGGAGGGAGGGAGGAAGGGAGGGAGGAAGGAAGGAAGGAAGGAAGGAAGGAAGGAAGGAAGGAAGGAAGAGAGGAAGGAAGGGAGGGAGGGAGGAAGGAAGGAAGGAAGGAA